CCCTTCAACTCCTCCAGGTTGGATTTTGATCCCCGTTTTCCCCCTGGATCCATGGCAGGGGGAGCTCCCAGTGGGATGCAGGGGGTGCCATCCCTGTCGGGACCATCCCCGGGGTCCCTGGGTGCTGGACCCTTTCCCAGGATTGTGGATCCATGGGATCAGCCCCAGCTGGATAACGCAGGAATCGCGGGCTGGTGCCGCTCCCTCATCCATGAACAGCCCCTTCCCTCTACCTCCTCTTCCCGGGGACACAGAGGGCAGAGGGATTTGGGGAGCAGGGAGCCCCAATCCCTGGCTGGGGGTGTCCGTGCCCCCATGACCCCCCCGTGACCCCCCCGTGTCCCGCAGTGCTCCTGGTGCAGGGCCAGTACAGCCGCTTTGAGGGCATCACCTACCCCGAGCCCGTCCAGTACTCCCAGTACGACCAGCAGGCAGGTGAGAGCTCCCACAACTGGGAAGGATGTTCTTCCCCCCTTCATTTCCTGCTTTCTCTGGCTGAACACCCACCACTCCAATCCCTCTTTTCCCTCCAACACCCTCCTTCCCTTTTCTCCTTAAATTCCCTTAAATTCCCAACATGTGACACTCTCCCCTCTCCTCCCCCTTCTCTTCCGTCCCTTGTGCTGCCAATTATTCATTAAACCTTCATTAATTATTCATTAAACCTTAATTAATTATTCATTAAACCTTCGTTAATCTCCAAACCCCACCTGCTGGATGTTCCCAGTTCATCCCTGGGGTGTCCAGAGGTGTTTTCCCATCGCTCCCACCCGAATTTTCGGGAGCTCCTTGCCCAGCCCCGGCCTGGCTGGGCTGAGTTTGCTCCCTAAACCCCCCCCTCAGCCTCTGGTTTCCTTTTGTTCCCCAGAAATCCAGGATTACTACGACTACCATGGTGAGTGACCCCCGGGGGGTGCCGGGGGGGTGGGATGGGGCGGGAATTTTGGGGGATGTCCCTGCTCTGTGTCTGTCCCTGCAGATGTCACCCCCCGCGCCCCCGAGGAGCAGTTCCGGTACCAATCCCAGCAGCAATCCCAGCAGGAAACTGTGCCCGCCCCGACCCCAGGTGGGTGACAGACCCTCCAGGGGGGTGACAGACCCTCCAGGGGGGTGACAG